GATTGAGCCTACACAGAATATTCTTACAAACCGTTGAGAGCCCGAAGGATATCCTGCCGGCCACGGTGTCTATCTGCGGCTTCGAGACATCTGCTTGAGGTCAGTATCGAGTATGCTTCAAGAACTGCGGCATGCGAAATATTGCGTCGTCTAACGCCATTATCAGGATTTCATACGTGACATAGGTTCCTGCATAATAACATCTTGGCTCATAGGACCAACTCAGACACGGCACTGGCATAACTAATGACGAGGAAGGTCGTTGAGATTTTAGAAAAATACAAAATAATACATTATGTGGTGTGGCTATGATGTGGTTCTCGATATGGCTGCGAACAGTATTCGCTCACCCATTTGTACCTGCATGGGACAAGGTTCTCCCAAATCTCACATTGGCGAGTCGGAGGTTTGGATAGCTCATCGGGGTCAAAATCGTCTAATGAAAAATGGCCTAGGCCCTCAAGTTCATAGGATACGATGGCCGTTCCTATCTCGATCAGTTGTCCGATCTCCCTATACCAGAGGGACCAGAGGGAGCCACCCCAAAGCCCCATCAACTCTGCGCGTTCATCGCTGAGCACAGAGCGTCAGAAGCGCTCATACGGCGGTACTCCAGCGGAGACGAAGAGGTTCGTCGCCAGCGCTAAGTGACGGGCACAGCTTCATTCTTTGCAATTGATGTTCGTGGTGGAAGATTACCGGTCAAGACATTTCAGATATATCGGAACATGTTATTCTTCACACTCCGCTTCATGGCGACCGGCTTGCCATCCTCGTACTCGATGCCCGCCTCGCCGCCGTCGCTAGCCATGCCCGACATCTTCTGCCTCAACTCTTCGTCTAGCTGTGCCATTGTCTTCTTCTGCTTTTCCGTCAAGCTCTGTTTGCTTTGGTGGCTACTGGTATCACTTTCGGCCAGCGGCTTGGCCGTGGTTGATGTGACGTCATCATCCCTCACAGTGCTCTCAGGTGTGGGAGTTTGAGAGCTGGCGAATTGTCGCCGCGAGAGAGAACTTGTGTTGAAAGAGTATTTTGGACTGTGTGATAGCCGAGATGGTATTGTTATTCTTCGCGGCATTGTGAAGATGAGATTGATGTTTGGTTTGAGTGTCAAGGTTTATAGGTTTGTAGGTTGGTTGAGTTCATTAGTGTAGGTTCTACAATTCACTTAGTTGATTGACGATTAAACATCACGTGCACTGTAAATATATCATATAGTATCCATACGCAAATATTTAACACCTACACCTACTGTAGGTTTTTCGTCGCTAGTCTTTGAAGGCCATTGTAGCGAGTGAGGTAATGCAAGTAGCATAGGTAAGACATCGTAACAACTAAGTCAACGCAGACATATCCCTGAGGGGTTCTCTCATTAAGCAACACTCAAAGTGCCGGCATGTTACAGTCAAATTTGAGATGATGTGCATGTGGACGGAACAATATCAGGTTGCCTATTATTGTTGCCTTCTTTGACATTGAAGGGAGGAATACGCCAAGTGCACATGGCAACCAATAGCGCATTGATAAGATCGCATAGCCCTTCACTTTATCTACTTCAAAATTTTCATCATTGGACGCCTTCGACGCCGCGGTAATGAGCATTTCCTAGCACTGCCACGACGTATAGATTCAGGCAACCATGTGCACTGCTGTAAGCATACCGGCCGGCACCCTCCGTGCACGCTGTGTTTAACAACAGAAGTTTGATGAATCGCGAACGTAAAGTGTATTCGTCCAAAAAATCGTAATCGGAGGCTATGAGATTCTAAACTCTAAGGATTTTTTTATCATTATAATATATAAGAATACAACGAAAAGAGATGCAAAGATATTAGTAACGCTATAATGTGTGCAGCCTGTCCAGTGAAAATGATCGCAGTGTTCGCCATAAACTCCTTGCGCCTATCATCTCTTTCTTCGTCATGTCTTCGTGTCTCTTCCCTAGCCAATGCATCTAAAATGGAGATGGATCCCTACTTTCGACTGAAATATCTGAAATCATACTTGTATCCGCAAAAGCCGTCAATTGCATCCCAGGAAACCAACCATCAGTAGCCAAGACTTCGTGCAGATAGAACTTATGCAGAAATGAAATGGGAGTATGTCATCCAAGCATTCTCCTGATGGCACAGTTGGTAGCGCGTTGGACTGTAATTGAAATTGCTTAGAGATCCACAGGTCGCGTGTTCGAATCACGCTCGGGAGAATTTCTTTTTTTAGAGGATCCTTTTTGCCAAGTCTTGGCATAGGCAGGCATCCAAAGCACCCTAGGAATGTGGGGGGGTGACCTTATTACCGCCACCCAATCGTCTTCCTCTCGGGGTATTCCACATACCGACGGTCATCCACCGCGACCGTCTCATATCGTCTGCTCTTATTCCAATTATCCCTTTCCAAGCGGACCGAAATGCACTCAGAGCAGTACCCGCCGTAGCAGCGCTCACGATGCCGGAAGCAGCCCCGGCACTCGGTATAGCTGGGTTTCTCCTTCGCGTGCTCGATCCACATGCTCGATCCGGGCGCGTTGTAGATGATCGTGTTCGGCTTATTGCTGCTACTGCTACTGCCGCTGCTCCGGTAGTGGTTATCGAATGACCGCTCATCGATTACAAGTTTTCCCTCGTTGATGATGTATCGTGTTGGCCGGTGGCTGTGCCGGAGGTCGCGTCCGATATTTTGCGCCAGCTCGTAACCGTCTTTGCGATGGTGGTTGTGGTGGTCGTGGTGGTCGTGGTGGTAAGAGGGCATGGTGATGGTTGGGAGGATGTGATGTGATATGATCTGTTTAGCTGGGGAAGTTGAATGCCGTTGATATGCACGACTGGATCCCACACTTTTCTTGATATTCCTTGGGCGGCTCTATGTTGTACAAGGTCGAACTGCAATGAAGAAAATAATTCTCAATGGGAAATGAGTTGGGGGTTCTCTGTTCAGGATGAAAGCCCCATTTGTCTTATATGCCATGTCTATGGGGGAGCCCTGAGCCCTTCATGGGAAGGACTTAGTCCTTTTACATATGCGCTTTTCAGCGTTACCAAGCTGAAGGAACCGAGAACCTAAGGAGGGGTGTATGCAGGTGTCCCATTGTAATCGGGCGAGAAGTAGTTCGCTGAGGCTTAGCCGCATATGCGGCGCAAAGTGTACGCTATTATGTAGGTCTTTTGCTACGCCGCAACCGTCATGACTGTCCGGTAGCCAGTAAGAACATGGCTTGGCAAGTGGCAGCCTGCCAGGGTCTCACCAACAACGTCCAACATCGTTTCTCACAGCATCGCACCATCTTAGTGGGACGGACATGTGATTATCACCGCTGTGTAGACTCACCCGCCACTTACTTAAACACCAAGGCTGTAAGCAGGCCACACAATACAGCCCTCCTTGGAGTCAGTTTGTGTTTTCCGCGCTGACTCACCCGACCATCAGCTGGTAAAATTTTATTCCTCGATTACGTGATAGCTGAGCTTATAAGCACTGTATTTTATAAATACTTGGGTTACGCTTAGGCATTCTGGACCTAGTATATGTAATAGGTGAGACGGTTATTGGGGGCTGAAGTGTTACCAAGACATTGATGTTTTTCTTTGTTCATCCGAACGCGGATGATATCAAACTTAATCGATTTATTTTGTTTCAAGAGACGTGAGAATCTTGGAAATGCTACTTCTTAGGGTTGCAAGTCCTGAAGGTACAAGTTGAACTACCTACAAACTTCTAGCCTGTTCACCTGATACTACGTCACGCGAGTCCTGAAGACAAAACAAACGACAGCAGAGTCGTACAGCAGAGTATAATTACAACATGTGTCTACTCGCATTGTTTGCTGCGTACCCGTGTTACAGCTAGTTCAGTATAGCCCGTGCGGAAGTAACCGGAATACTCAAACACCTGATCCTGTTGAGGCTGACTGTCAGGCTACCCCTATTGATGTAGGTCATGCAGAGAGGTCGAAGTAGGGCTAGTATAGGACAGGTAATGAACGTTGTTGCCGCGTAAGGACCCCAATATTCCACTTCGAATGTGGGCGATAGTACACAGGCTCAAAGCCGCTAAGGTAGATCCATATGGCCAGAACAGCTCTGACACAGTATTATTTGACTCCCCCCGTGCCGGCGAAAACAAGAGCATAGCCAAATATGGAATATGGGGTGTTCCTTGCTACTAACTTACAAATCAGTTCCTTTGTCTTATAACAGTATTATCATGACACTGACAAGGTTGACACTAACTACCCCATCAACCATCTACATTATCCAGATCTCATATTCATCGGTTTAACTGATTTTAGTTAATGGAACCCTATTTAGGACCACAGATACGGACACGGTGCGAAGAGTATTGCGAAGCCCTTCAGACACATAACATGAACCAACCCGCCGAAAGAACCAACTTACGTGTTTTATTAGATTGGGTTGGCAATATTCGTTATTCTCAAGCAACAGCCCGAACGAAATGATATTTAGTTGCTAAGCCGGTTAAGTTGACACATTTGCAGATGGAAATTGCTTCCAGGTCAAGAATCAGAGCAAAGTATAAGATCTCAACATCGATTTTCATTTGCCACTTATTGCACGGAGGCGAGGTGATATGTGGAAGAATCTATGTAGATCATCTCTGAGTGGCCGGCAGAAAAAAAATGGAGTGTCACCTGCCAGCTTGACCTCGTCCAATCTCTAACCAATTTATATGCATTTCAAATCTTAATCGGCCATCGTAACCCTAGGTATGCAACGTGTCCAAAAAGATCGATTCTCCAAATGTCCTGTGTACATGATAGTGATTTGGTCAGTTGTCTCCATAACAGCAAGTAGCATCCATCATATCGTGCAGGCTCGATCAGGGTGCTAGCAGTCCACCAACGTAGGTAATTATTAACGAGTGTTTGACTGAGAGGTTCACAGAGCGGCCGTCATTTACGATTCGAACAGCTACCTGACCCATAAAGTATTTGACACCGCAACTAACATAACAAGGACAGAAAAACAAAGAAAACAAGAAAAAAAAGCCCAGTCTTGGAATCGAACCAAGGTCTCTCAGAGTTGCCGCCCGACGTAGCAAGCGAATAGCAAGTGTATAGCAAGTACTAGCAAGTGGGAAGCAAGTGGAAGCAAGTGTATAGCAAATACTAAGCAAAGGCTGCGGGGATCTAGGCTCTGAGTGTGCTTTAACCACTACACCAACCAGGCGCTGATTGTTTTCAGTTGGATGTTTGCTTCCTTGATTTCCCTTATATTGATTGTTTGTCTGTTGGTTGGTGTGGTAAATGGTTTGCGCTGATTGGTACTGCTCAAATTTTGGTTGCTGAGACATTCATTCATGTATTAATTATTGGTTATTTATGGGGTGCCATTTAAGATCAATGGGAAGGCCGGACAATCTCCTCCGGTTAATGGGAAAACGAAACAGTAAACAGCAGATTTAGCATAAAATTGGAGGCGATGCTCAGAGTGATTGGTTGTGAATATCCTCATGCAACGCTCTTTAGACATTCGGCATCGTTCTTGAACAGTGTAGTGTAATGTAGAAACTAACCGGGTATTTTAGGTCATGGATGTTACTAACTGAGAGCTTTCTCGTTATTCTAAATCTGGCCAAAGTTAACATACCTTACGGATGTGCGTAGACAAGTATATTCACTTCCGCCAACTGGATATCAACAAGCTCGTTAAGAAACGGAGCTGGTTACGGAGGGAACTATTTGAAAATGATGCAGGAGCTCATTATAAGGAAGACAGGAAAGGCGATATAAATTTTCAGTCAACTGCATTTGAGTAATACATCTTAGCAGCAGTTTCACCCTTAGCCACCCCATCGGCACTCAAACGGAGGACGACACTGTACCACGTATATACGAGCATGGAGGTCAAGCGTGTAGATATGCATTGTCAAGCTTATCAAGACAATCAAGCAAGTTTAACTCTTAAGTGCCTGTGTGAAAGAAATCATGCCAAACAAAGAAGACTGACGCGCAAATAATGGCTGCTGTCTATAACAATCTTTTTATTGTGGTCTTAGAGGAGCTTCTTAAAAGCAGTACTCCTAAAACGAGGCTGGAATGTCTGCGCAATTAACCAACAGGACATTTCGAGTGACGTATGAACAGACAGAACGCTCGTGTCACCTCAACAGCTCAACAAGAATTAGAGGAATAAGCAAGTGAAAAAGATATAATGGACCAACCTAGTAAGTCAAGCATAGGTGTGGAGCTGGAGTTCCTTCTCTGCATCGCAGAAGATGGCAAGCCACTAAACATACCACAGATGTTCGAATCAGCGAAAGGTGGACCGCTCCTCCTCCCAGCCGGCATTGGCCGCCATGATGCTAGGGTACACACGATAGTGCAGAGAAGGCTCCAGCAGACAGTCGATAGTGTCCTTGCCGAGCATCGTGGGACTCGCGTCGTTCGCTCAGCACGCGAGGTCTTGCTTGACGCAAATGCAATGCATTTGAGCCCTTATCGAGACTGGACTATAGGAAGCGACCAGTCGTTCACTCTTCCTCCTGAACTAGCAATCCAGGAACACATGAATGAATTCAAGTGGTTCTCGGCCGAGATCGCGTCGCCCGCACTATGGGCAACCGATGCCTCATGGGACGAGATCCACGCCGTAGTCCAAGCAATTGCCAACCAATACTGGTTTATCACTCCTCAAGGCGCAGGAATGCATTACCACTACGGTAATGGAAAGGATTGGATTCAATTTGACAGGTTGCGACGTATCGCCGCGTTCCTCCTGGCGGCCGATCCGCTTCTTGTGCAATTACACCCTGAGCACAGGCGAGATGAAGCGATGTGTATAGGTAATAGATTGTACTCGCGCGTTGCTCACGGGATACCAGCCGCGGTGACAGCCCGCAACCTTGGCGCTCAGCAAGTTGAGCAAGAGCCAGAGTTTCCCGTACGAACCGCGAGACCAAGACCGATCCCACGACCATTCCGCCAGCGAACACCTAGTCTAAAGGTTCCGTTCAAGCGCGGGCAACTAACAGGATACACGTTCAGCCAAAGCCAGTTCAATCTTACGGCTGCTGATACAGAAAGAGATGCCGACAAGGAGGATGGCCCGAAGCCGCTAGCAATCCCTTACGAGGTTCGCGAGATCTTACGGTGCCTTAATTCTCCAACTGTTGCCGAGCTGATGCGATTTGGCCCTGTACCCGGCGACAGACCAGCCTACAGTTTCTGGAACTACACATTTGATCTTTACAGGAAGTTCAGAACGATGTCAGATGGCTCCGCTCGTGTATTCCAAGATAAACGTACCCTCGAGTTCCGTCAGATGGCGTCAACGATGAATCCCGACGAGGTCGTAGCCCATGGAAAGATCATCGTGCGCATGTGTGAGTGGGCTTCCGAGGTAGATCTGGAAACCCTCTGGAAGGTCGTTCTTGATTGTACAGTCGCCGAAAATGACGGCAATTGGTACGACGTCTTTGATCTACTCGCTGAGCTCGACCTCGTCGAAGAGGCCAAAATCCTACAGCACGCTGTCGCTCGATTTCGAGGCGAAACCATCCCAGAGGATCTTGACGACGACGAAGAAGAGGACGAGGAGGTCGTAGAGGCTAGGACACGACGGAGGCGTTCATGGCTTAGTTGGCTTACCAATTGGATTCTTCGTCAACCGCAGCCAGTAAATTGATAGATTGTACGATACTTTTAGAGAATACTGTCGTAATAAACATGGTGCTCGTGATCTTCAGGGTCATCGGTAGATGTCTGGTAAGTTGTGATTTGCGGCTGGTGACACACTATGCTGGATGCTCCTAACAAGAGGCTTCTAATCGCCAAATACATTGCCTGTGAAAAGATTACATCACTTACCTGTAAATTAATAAGCATTTTTGTGGTTTCCCGGTATGTCCGTACTGTTCCGCGGGATGATACCAAGGCTCGCTGAGTGTTCTGTCTTCTCAGTTCGGTCTGCTGGAGAAAGCCATTTTATGTAGAGGGAGCACAGCTTTGTTGGGGGCTATTGAAAGGATTGCGACGAGGAGGGTGAAGGGAAACGAAAATAACACAACCGTGTCTTGGAGGCAAACCTCGCACAAACCTAGACAGTAGTACATGTAGGCCCCTATCAAGTTGTAAACTGCATAGTCCATTTGGTGGCAATCATCTGCACCCTGCGCTGAGCGGGCTCCAAGTTTACCAATTAACATAGCGATTCCTCTTTGGATGCCAAATAACAGTGCAATCGCTACTGGTGAGACGAGGAAGCAGCATAGAATACTGCAGTTAGCTTCCGCGCAATTGTCCTGGCCTCAAACCATAGGACGCAAGCGAACGTCCCAACTCTGCTGAAGTGTTCACTGAGATCCTTAGGCTGACCCAAGGCGGTTAGTGAAGACGATGCCTTGTTTCCGTACTCTCCAGCCAGCGAGCTCCACGTCGTGTCGTCTTTCACTTTGTGTAGTATGCAAGCTTCAGTATTTCAAATGTGAACGATAGACGACAAGTTCAATGACTTCTCGTTCATGGTACGCAGCTCGCTCGGGAGGGGCCGTGGTGAGGGCCTATATGAAGCGATTGGGGGCTAGCAACGTGTCGCAGACAAAACGGTAATGAGCAACGGCTACATATGTAGGGTCAGGATACAAAGGGTCACATCTTCTTCCTCGTTTGCCTATTTTCCTATTGTCAACTGGAACTTTCCTTTGGATGAACGTCATCGCGCATTCAGACTTGTTGGCTGCCAGCAACCCGAAAAATCTCGTTACCAAAGACTTTGGAGGATTCCAAATCTCCTCGCTCGATTTCCTCACTCTGTCGCCCACTTTTCTTGGCATAATAATTTTCTGCTGTGTTGACTTTGTACTGGTGAGCAGGAGCGACATATCTTCCACTGCAGATTTCGACATGATTATTGTTGGGGTCTGACAAAGGCCACCGTAGGACCTCTACAATAGGGCTGCTGGTGTTTGAAGGTTCTACCGTAGTAGTACCGGTTTGTTCGCTGTCCTGTTGAGATGTGTAGAATTTTTCGGTGTACTGCTGTACAGTACTATGATTAGGATGATGGCGGGCAGGATCTAGTCCAGCCATCCGGCCCGGCCGATCATAGCATACATCATCTTCGGCCTGGTGCGATGCAATTATTGATTCGAGATGATGGATATACGTTTTAGTTTCGTCCGTAGGGCTGGGTATAGGGCGTATAGGGCGTATAGGGCGTTGGGGGCGGTGTGGTAACAACACCTACAGTGGGTGCGGTCACTATAGTGCCCCTCAATGACCGAGTTCGGAGGCTTGACCGTAGGTATCTACTGTACATAGGCTTGCCTGATCATCCCCGCTAAACCCATTTGCCCATCGATTCTCTTCATCGGATTCTGATCGGAATCTTTAACTTGCATACCCAATTCAACCATGTACATATTATTAGCAAATGGAAATGTCGACTGTTGTTACCTTACTTAGTCTAGGTCCAACATTTGAACCAAATCAGGATGCCCATCGACTAAACGAAGATGAGGACGTGCACAAGACATGTTAGACTGGAAAACACAAAATTCATTGGATATCGAAGGCGGTATAATTTGCATATTTGCCATTCTTGTTCTATTTACATCGGTATGGAGGTACTGCATAAAGAATAATTGCCCCGCATCGATCTGCACGGATAACGATGTGTTCACCGGTTTCCCCTAGTCTAGTTGTACATAACACTTTCGCAGCAGCTTACTTCCTTGGCCCATGTCGCATCTTCTTGCGCGTTAACTCGGCCCATCTAACTGGCGCGTTTCCCTTTTGCCCGGGTTCATACACTACGGGGGGTCAGGCCAATTCGTATGCGATTGATTCCATTCCATATTCCCGTTCACATTCATAATTCGTCGTAAAGAAGAAAAAGAGTACCAACATCGCTACCCCCGAATATATCTACAAGAGCGTCTTTGTCGCCGCGGGGAAGTCTGTGCTTGAGGGCTCCATGCCAAGTCTGCCATTCGTCCCAGTATTGATCGTCAGGCTCGTCGCGCCCTCGGCGTGCGCATCGACGACCGTGCCATCTGGGAGACTGCATTGGTAGGCCTGGGTAACGAGGATCTTGTGGTCGTGCGTCATGATATACGAGGTGTTGAAGCCGGGGATCCGCGTGGCACACCACTGCAAACCTCCGTCGTCGGCGCCCTTGCGGATCGATCCGCTGCAGCCGCTGTGGTAGTCGTTGAAGGTCGTGTTAAG